TGGAGCACTTTCAGAACACAAGCTAAGGCAGTGGCTTGCCAAAAGCACACCCGTTTGTCTATTACAGATGCAGCCCGAGTGAGCAAGGAATGTACCCAACAGTTCTGAGCACTCACCTTTGCTGAGCAGCTCCTGGAGGGCAGCCCTCGCCAGGGAGCCGCGAATCTTCAGTCTCTCTGAGACAACCGCAGGCGTGATGAGCTTGTAGTTGGGCACTTCCTTGCACAGTTTGTCATAGGTGGCCTTATCGAACAGGACAAGGTTGTTCAACTTGTCTCGCACTTTCCCCTTGGACCACTTCTACTTGGAAACAGGAAAACAAGCCCTAAGCCATCTTCTAAACTGTAATGAAAGATCCAGCTTTAGGATATCCCATCAAACGTTTCCCCATCACTCCCAGATTAAAGGCCTAACAAGACGCACCAAATCGTCTTTATAAACATAAATACCGCAGATAACACCGACAGCATCTCCAACCGGCGGGCCTAAAGCTCCGGATAAAATCACAGCCTTTTCTTCCTCACATGTGCCACCAGCACACGCGGCTCAGCAGCAGCTCCCCCAACACCACCATGTGCCTCCCCGGCCACGCACCGACCACACGCTGAGGGGCCGGGGCGGGGGAGCCCAAAAGCCTCCCCTGGAGCCCACGCCAGCCAGGTCCCCCCACCTCCCGCCGCCCCGGCTCCCACCTTCTTTTTGGCTTTGCCGCCGGACTTGTTGACCGGGTCTTTATCCTTTTTGGCAGACTTGCCCGCGTCCTTCTTCTTCTTGTCGTCTTTGGGCGGCTGCGGGGGGGAAGAGAAGCGCGGCCGATGAGCGGCGGGCAGCGGGCGGACCTCCCGAGGCTCCCCGCGGGGCCCCGCCGCCCGCCGCCGCGGCCCGCCCGGCGCTCACCATGCTGCGGCGGGGCTGCTCCACAAGATGTCGGCCCGGAAAGGAAGCGCCTGGCGCGGGGCGCGAGGAAACCCCGTGCTCGAGGGCGACTTCCGGGGCACGGCGCGGGGCCGCTTCCGGCCGGTGGGCGGGCTGGGGCTGTCATGGCGATCTTCAGCGTGTACGTGGTGAACAAGGCGGGCGGGCTCATCTACCAGCTGGACCACTACGCGCCCCGCGCCGACACCGAGAAGACCTTCAGCTTCCCGCTCGACCTCGTCCTGCGCCCGCACGACGAGCGCGTCGTCGTGGCCTTCGGACAGCGCGATGGCATCCGCGGTGCGTCGGCCGGCGGGCGGGCGGGCCGGGGGCAGCGGGCTGGGCTGGGCCGGGCCGGGCCGGGCTGACCCCGCGCTGTCCCCGCAGTGGGGCATGCCGTGCTGGCCATCAACGGCGCCGAGGTCAACGGGCGCTTCACGGCGGACGGGAAGGACGTGCTGGAGTTCCTGGGCAACCCCGCCAACTACCCCGTGTCCATCCGCTTCGGCCGCCACCGCCTCTCCTCCAACGAGAAGCTCATGCTGGCCTCCATGTTCCACTCGTGAGCTGCGCGGGTCGGACGGGACCGGGGCGCAGGGCGGGGGGTGTGGGGGCACTGAGGACCCTCTCCCCACAGGCTGTTCGCCATCGGGTCGCAGCTGTCCCCCGAGGTCGGGAGCTCCGGGATCGAGATGCTGGAGACAGACACCTTCAAGCTGCACTGCTTCCAGACGCTGACAGGTACAGCTCAGCCCTGGGCACGGCACTGCTTGGCCTGGCCAGGGCTGTCACAGAGAGCAGCCTTCCCCACCCCTTGTCTTTATGGCTCCAGGGATCAAGTTCATGGTTCTTGCCGACCCGAGGCAGGCGGGGATAGACGCCCTTCTGCGCAAGATCTATGAGATTTACTCTGACTTCGCCTTGAAGAATCCTTTCTACTCCCTGGAGATGCCCATCAGGTAGAGAAAAGGCCACTTTTGATAATGCAGCTGCAACCCCTTCTCACTCTGCCTGTGCTGTAACAGATGCCGACAGCCCCTCTGCTTTGTGGCAGAGCAGACCCAGGGGCTGAGGGAAGGGGAGGACACAGCACATGGCTGCAGGGGCAGGGCACTGACCAGTGCTCCTTCTGGTGCTGCTCTCCTGGGGAACTGGGAGGCACTCCTCCTCTCCACAAACCCTCCTGCCCTAATGTCACAGTTGAGCCCATACAAGAAGCTTTAACCTTAATTAATGGCCAGGCCAAAGTCTGATAGCAGCAGGTCACAGTCTCGTGACTTAGGAATCCCTCTTTGAAGAATGTGGAGATCCTGCCTTTGTTAACCTGTTCCATAGGTAAAGTCACCCCCTTCTGCTTTTCTCTTTCAGATGCGAGTTGTTTGATCAGAACTTGAAACTTGCTCTGGAGGTGGCAGAGAAAGCCGGACCCTTTGGACCTGGGTCATAGAGAAAGCCTTGCTTGTTGCACTGACTCTTCTCTCCCCTGAACAGCAGGGCCTCTCCTTCACATCAGAGACTGCATAGCCCCCAGACTTGTGCCACTATCTCCCAAGATACTTGTTTATCCCCCGGCTGTGAGATTTACCTTCAAAAGATTAGTCAGGATTGTTTACACAGGACCACAGAGGCTTATTCTGCTGTGCCCTCCAGTGAAGAACGGCAGCGAGGTGTGGATCCGTGGCATTACTGCAGCTGATGGCTTGCTTTCATTTCAGAACTGTACATATGTATTTTTCCTGTATAGCTCTAACTTATGGTTTTGCAAAGGGTTTCTATGTAGGAGTAATAAATGTTCCTTGAAGAAGCAGATGGCTGTTTTCTGTTGGCAGGGTAAATTTGTGCCAGTAGCACCCTAAGAGGATAAGCAGGTTTGGGTGGTTCTGCCTGCACCGTTCTCCCTAAGACAACCACAGCCCTTGTGACACTGCTCCGTTTTTATTTCACATACAAGATCAGAGAATTAAGTACAAAATGTAATTCACTTCCACTGTTTTAATTAAGGCTGGCTACCTACTCTTGCAACCACACTGTTCAGCACAGTACCTGTGTGCACGTTCTGCAGAACTGCCTCTTCCAGAGCCCTGAAGCAGTAAATCCTTTTGGGGAAAGCCAAGAATATTCAACTAAATCCTGGTTAAAAACCTGAGTATTCATTGCAAACAGTGCTGGGCCCCAAGTGCTGCAGGCTGCCAGTGGTGGCTCTGCTAAGGCTGACTCGGAAGCAGCCTGAGCCCATGCCCACAGCTATGAGAGATGCAGCTCTTGACCAAAACCACCCTAGGCTATACTCCAAGTACTGACAAAACACAGGCCAACACTAAAAACAGGTGTTTTTCCAGAGACCTGGAAAAACCCTGCAGCTGCTGTCACAATACCTGCTGCTGCGTGGGTTTTCCAGGCTGACGGGCAGAGTGCTGGCTGCACATTGCCATGGCAGCAGCTGCCTCCCTTGCAAATCATTAACACACACAGAAATTGCACCGGGCAGGATCAGTTCAATAGAAGGAGCTTCTCTAAACGCTCTCCCCTAAAGTGCCAAGGGTTTCCTGGAAACGTGCCTGTTTCCTGGTGCTGCAAGAGCCCCACCGCAGCACCACACCAGCATTCCACTTCTCCAGAGCAAAACACCTCCATCTCTCCTAATAACTAATCCTGGGTCAAGCTAAAGCCACGCTGCTCTCAAAGGAGCCAAGAGGCCCAGCTCTAATCATCACCATTCACTGCTGTCGCTGTTCCAGGGCAGAGCGCTCAGCAGAATCAAAAAGTTAATGACAGAGAAAAAACAGCAGGGACAAAACTCAAGGTGACAGCACCTGAAGCCAGACATTTCAGAGTCCTTTTAGCAGAGGAGCTCAGGCTGCAACGCCTGCGTGCTTCCCCAGCAGTGCTGTGAGGAGGTGCAGCAAAATCATTGCCTGTGTAAACTACCTGAATTATCACATCTTGAGGGAAAAAGTGATCAGCAGCAAGAACCTTGTGCCCTCTGGCACCTGACAGTGAATGAGAAATTGAGATATTTTTATGTAGGTTGCAGCAATAGGTAAACTCACTCCAGTTAAACAAAAATCCGAGCATCATTCCCATCAGTGAGAGAGGCTCCTTTTCACCGAGCAGCTTCTCCTCAGTCAGCCTTCCTGGGAATCCGGCCCATCTTGGTGCGGATGTTGCGCAGTAAGAAGAAAGCCACTGTGCTGCCTGTGCAGGTGATTTCGGCTACCCAGAAGGCTGTGGCCCAGCTGTAGTGCTTGGCAATGGTACTGAAGGGTAGTCCAGCCAGAAACCCCCCAACTGCAAGGAGAAACAAACACAAACCCAGCAATGCTCGTGTCTCAATTTGATCTGCTGATACTTGGGGTTGCACGTGTAAAGATTTCTCAGGCATGGTTTGAACTTCAAGCACAAGGCAAAAGCCCATCAGGCACAGCAAGAAGCATCCCTGAGGCTCCCAGCTCTATCACCTCGCCTCCTGGGAGGCTTCCCATGACCGGGAGCTTGGCACCCGGCAGTGGCAATGTTCCAGCAAGAACACACGTGGGTTTTGTTTGGTTTTCAGGGAAATGGGCGCTACTCACCATTGGCCATGAGGGCCACTATGGCATGGGAGGTGCCGCACAGGTTGGCAGGGGCGCTTTCGTTGGCGATAACCCCGAACAGGGCGATGGGCCCGTAGGAGGAGAACCCGAACACAGCTCCCAGGGTCAGGATCCACAGCTGTGAAAACACGTTAAGATCAGAAACGGGATCCGTGCACCCTCCCCTGTCAGTCAGCAGCTGCCGCCCAACCGTGGTGCTGCGCGCGGTACAGGGGAGTTCTGACATTTTCGGGCTGACACCGACTCCCTGACCTGCTGACAGAAGAGCTCAAGCCTGTGACAGCCCCCATGTGGTGCTCTCGGCCACCATGAACCCCCTCTCTCCCACAGCTCTGCCCCTACCCCGTGCTCACACAACAGGAGCCGTCTGCACGAGAACCAGACCGTTGAAGAGAGAGGGGCAAAACTGCAGGAGAGGTGTGGATCAGGTCACTTTAAAGCAACCCTGGAGTCACCAGCTAAAAGCTTTTCTCCTCTTAGATGCGAGTGACCGGTCAGAACACCTTTATTTGCAAGAAGCCACCATCTGATAATCCCTCTGTTACTAAGCAAACACAAAACAACCGAAAAGCCCTGACAGCTTGAACGTCAGTGTTAGCTCACGCTCTGAAAAAACTACCTGGCTCACGTGTGAAAGGACAGCAAAGGGTAATTGCCCTCCTGAAGGTTACAGCATGCTTGCTGAACTACAAACACCATTTCAAGACGTGCAGAAGTAAGTAAATACCATCTTATTTTCCAGATGGGAAACAGAAACAAAGAGTTAGGAAAACACTTGCAGAAAAGCAAGCAGGAAGGCATGTGCAGGAGCAGGATAATTCCTCCTGCGCCCACTCGCAGGACTCCTTAACTGGGTGCATTTCAACTGAGGAGCAAATGTCCTCAGAACCTCTGAAATAAGAATGTGCAAGTTTTACATCCAGACTTTTAGCAGTCAGTCGGTGTAATCAAAAGACTACACGAAAAGGTTTCTGTTACAAAACTGACAGTAATCTCAGTGCCCTGGTTTTAAGCTTTGTAGTGCTAACCAACCTCCCAGGACAGGAAAAGGGCAGATCAGCAAAAGCAGAAACAGGCAGAGGGAGGAAAAATGCAAGGCAGAAACCTCATGTTCCTTGAGGCCTGTAAGGTCAGCTAGAGGTTGCAAGGCTACAGTCCAGAAGTGATTTTCCTGAAGAAACAAAGGAAAGGAGAAGAGGTTTCATTTATCCAGCAATGACGCAGGCAGAGGCAAGCCATGTCTACGCTACAGCAGGTAACGAAGGCCATCCCAGCCAACCTTGGCAGAAGCTGCCCAGCCCAGGCCAAGGGCGGCTGCTTTGCTGTGCCACAAGGCCAGGGTGAAGACAACAGGCTCCCTGCCACCAGGCCACCCTGGCCAGGTATGGTCAGCGGCTCACGCATGGCTTACCTTGGGAGACTCGCTGGTGACCGTGACTCGGAAGAGGAACATGGACGCACACATCCCGGCCATCATGGAAAGCAGCAGCGCGTGCCGGGGGTTCCCGTAGCTTGACAGACCCACCTGCAGCAGAGGGAAGGGAACGGGGGGTGGAAGCTGGAAGGACTCTAGCTTTATACTGGTGGTACCTGATGCCATCCACACTGCCTGCTCACACACATGGAATGTGAGCCAAAGTGGACCTTTCAGCAAGGCTTCTCGGTTCAGTTTAGTTTGCCCTCAGTCCAGCTGTGCTAAACAAGATGCTTTTAGTGATAAATGATACTTCTGTTATCAACTGCACCCTACTTCCACCCTGAATTGGCTTCAGATGCCACCACTGGATTTTCATGCAGGCTCTTTTTCAGCCAGAAGACAGCTGTCAACAACCAGATCTCCTTCAACAGGGAAACATGGAGAGCACAGTAAAGCCAACAAATAAAACAGACCAAACATCCTAAACCCACATCTTCAAAAAGGGTGTCTGGCAGCTGTCCTCATGCACCCAGCAGAGGTGCTACGGGCCTATCTCTCAGCTGTACCAGCCTGACTGAGCACCTTCCTGAAGCTGTTGAGATGGGTCCTGTCCCTCCCAGCCCACCTCTGAGTGAAGGAAGAGAGACGGGTTAGACAAGAATGCTCTGGTTTTCAAAAGCCCCACCTCAGAGCAGGGTAGTTTAGACTCAGAACTGCTTCCAGAAGAGCAGCTTGGGAAGACAGAAGAAGGAAACACAGCACTGAGAGCGGCTGCTCTGTAGCATGAGGCAGCAGCTCCGTAGCTCTGCATTCTGGGTACCCTGAATCTCCAGAGCAACATGAACAAGGGGAGTGTTCTGCTCCACTGCTGGTGTGGGTATTAGAGAAGGGGGAAATCTGCAGCAGTTCAAATCAATGCTGTGTTAACTGCCCAGCACACCCGAGGGTCCAGGTTACTTACTCTTGCTACTGCTCTGTCAGAAAGATATCCAGCAGCAATGCTTCCCACCAGACCCCCGATCTCCAAGGCACTCATGTAGGAACTACCTAGAACACAGGTGAAGCAAAGGACAGGCCATCAGGTTTGGCAACGAAGCTGCTGCATGCTTTAGACTCAGCTCAACCCTGTCAGCTCCCAGCAAGCTCAGAGCAGCTCTGCTGGACAAGACCCTCCAGTTCACCCTTGTACAGGGATGCCCGTCTGCCAGTTCCAACAGGGCCCTGGCACTGAGGCTGTAACTTCAGCACTGACTTATGTCTATACCTACATATACCCATGCAGACAGTTAGGATGTAGGGGAGCAAGCCCCTCGGACAGAGATCCCTGTGTCCTTTTCCTGCTCCCAGACAAGCTCTGGGCAACAACAGCCACACAGCTTAATAATGCATCTTCACAGCTTACCCACAAGCATGGATTGTCCCCTCTCCTGGATCAGGAAGAGCTGTCCCCAGTCGGTACAGCACGTTTTCACTCCAAAAACAACCAGGTAGCCTGTGGAGAGCACCCAGAGGTACGGCGAGAGCAGCAGCTCTGTCAAAGTGCTGTTGTCACTGGAGGAACCTGCGAGGAAGATCAGGAAAAGCGTTACCACTGCTTGAGCATTACACAGCCTGAAGCACAGCAGCTCAGCGGCACTACCGATCTGCGAGCAGAATTCATGCACAAGGACACCCCTACAGCGGAGGATATTCATAAGGAGAGATATTCATAGGAAATGAATGGCTTCACCTCCCCCTTGTTCTGGGTTTGCTGCGATTCCCGAATCTTTTCCGTCAATTTATTCCACATTCATTCAGGATTTCAAAAGAAGAATCAAAACACTCCTCCCAGCCACGTTCTGTGTTGTGGCTGCCAATAAACCCTCTGCAGAGGTTGCTAGGGAAATTGTCTGCTCCTCCAGACTTTGTGCTAATGCTTTAAGCAGTGCCTGTGACAGCCACTACACAGACCCAAGCCAAGATCCTGGCTTTCAGGTCTTCCCTCGATTTTTGCTTCAGTCTGTGAGAAGCGCCTACAAACGTAACCCAGCCTCCCCAGAAAAGGCTCTGGGGAAGCAATACTGCTTTCTTACACATGGAGGTCAAGTCTGGGCATCGCAGGACAGTGAGGAACATAGGCTGAGTTTCCACCGGCCTCTCAAATCCCACGGCAAACTTGTGTTGCAATTCCCCTCTACCTGTTCTGCTTTCAGAAAAGCACCATACTCAGTGGTCTGAACAAACATTTACTAACTAGCTGTCCTAGGCTAGGACACAAAACCCTGAGCAGAGTCCACCGCATGCCAGGGGTCAGGAGAACCTACACAGGGTAAGGGGAGAGCTGCTTGTCCTCTGCCAGCATGGAGAGGCAGGTCAGGCTCAAGGAAGCATTCCCTGCTGTTGTGCTGCTGTAGCCCAGACACAGTCCCCTTCCTGTAAGATTACACTTGGGCTTGGTTCAGAACTCCAGCATTCAGAATAAAGCTGCTGAAAACAGGGCCTTGCACGTACCCACCTCGTGGTGACTGTGGGAGTTGGGAAGGATGGAGGGCTCAGGACACCGGGAGCAATGCACCTGTGCTGGAATACACACAGAAGGCACCGCGGGTACCCGGTTACAGTGAAGCCTCCTGCTCACCTTTCTTCCCTTTCTTGGCTCCTTGGTCAATGTTGGGCAGCCCCACATCCGACGGCTCATTCTTAATGAGGACAAGGCAAACAAAAGAGACAACCACGCAGATGAAGCCGGAGCAGGACAGAGTCACGCGCCAGTCATAGTTCTGGGACGCGAGAGCAGCAACAATGGGGCCTAAGCCTCCGGCCAAGTTCATGCTTGTAGACAGGATTGACCACCACGTCCCAAACTGCGACGGCTCAAACCACTGTGCAACAACGAGAAAAAGGGCATGAGATCTGAGGAAGAGAGCAACACCGCACCTGAACACCACGGTTGAGACCCACGCTGCGGGTTTGGGGCACTGCAGGTGCCCATAGAACCACAGACTCAGGTAAAGGCAGTGCCCACTGTGAGTCCTGCAGGGAACCCCACGTGGCTCCAAGGCATTGCCATTTACAGACCATGAAACTGAGACATGGTCCGGGATAGGCAAACTGGAGCACAGGGTTCTGCACACCCCCTTGCCAGGAACAGCGTCCTCCTGGAGAGGTCTGCTGGCACAGCACTGCACATGGATACGCGGGGAGTCGCAGGGTAACTTTAGGACTCCCTGCTAAGAACCAGGCATGATCGGCTCTGCATTGCAATGTGCTCTCAGAGCCAGAACTGCTGGGGTGGCTGCTGTCAGCAGGAAAACGTCCGAGGGCTCCATTCACACACGCCTTCAGCCCACACTCTGTTGTTTCTGTGATTTGGGCCCTTCCTTTGTGTGTCCTTTTCTGGACAGCTCTTTTCTGGCCAGACAGATGAGCAGGGCAGTTCTCAATCCCCCCCCCCCCCCATCCTGCAAGCACATGCATTCCTGGATTTTACAGCCTTACAGAGAGGTACGCACACAGCTGACCTCCCTGCCTTCTGCCCAAAGGCGCCAAGCAATCCGGCCCCAGACACACACATGAGTTGGAGGCTCAGCTCCCGCTGTTCCTCCACACGTTACCCGCTTTCCTACCCGGACATTCTGGGGTTTGCAATTCCCGAGCTCCCTGAGCGTGCAGATGGAATTCTGCTCATCGCCCTTTGCCCAGCAGCAAACTGCCACAACAGCGGGGAGCCGGGCAGCCCTCTGCCTTCAGGCTGGATTCCCGCAGCGCAGAAAGCCTGCCACCACGAGACGCGACTTCTCAAACCGAGCTAGCACTAGAACCAAGGCACCTGCATGCAGGGCCCGAGCAGCTCTGGGGACCCACCCTTGCCACAGTACCCAGACCCTCACACCCGGACAATCGCTGCGCAGGCTCCCAGCGACTTCCACCTCCTTGGCTGGAAGGAGGCAGCACAGGCAGGAGCCGCTCTGGATCTGGAGCTCGCGTTCCTGCAGCGCAGCAGCCGAGAGCAGCTTTCCCAGCACCCGCGCTCACCTTCCGCAGGATCTTCCCGCAGGGCGGCCAGCCCAGCCCCTGGGCCAGCCCGTTGAGGAACCAGAGCCCCGCGAAGGCCGTGACGGTGGAGCTCCAGGAGAAGGCCACGTTGACCAAGCCCACCATGAGGAGCCCGGAGCAGAAGAGCCAGCGGGCGCTCGCCCGGTCCGAGAGGACGCCGCTCACGAACTTGCTGATGGCGTACGCCGCGGACTGGCTGCTGGTGATGAGACCTGCGGCGGGCCCGCCCGTGAGAGCCCGTTACCGCGAGCAGCGGGGCGGGGGTAGGGGGCAGCGCGGGGACCGGCACTCACCCAGCTCGTCCTTCCCCAGCGGCACCTCGGCCATGACGGCGGGCATGACGAACGAGAAGGTTTTGCGGTTAAAGTAATAGAGCGTGTACCCGGCGAACATGGCCGCGAAGATCACCGTGCGGTACCGCCCGTACCCGCCCGCCGCCATCCCGCCGCGCTGCTCCGCTGCCGGGCAACGGCGGCCGCAGCGACCCCGGGACCGGCAGCAACGCCGAGAGCGGCCGCGGCCCGCAGCGACCTCCCGCCGCCCCGCCCACCAGCGCGCCGGACCGCGCTCCCATTGGCCGCCCGGACCCGCCCCGCGGCCCGCTTCCGGCCCGGCCTCCCATTGGCAGAGGCTCACCTCAATCAGCC